CGAGATATCAGTGAAAAAAACGAAAATTGACTAATCATTATGCAAATTAGGTAATTAGTATCCACGGATTATTACCAAAAACTAATCAAAACCTAGCATTAGTTCAGAGCATCTATGTACCAAGTTTCATCAAAATCCAATGAGTGGTTGTTTAGATATCAGTGGAACAGTCATAGAACAGCTAAAAATTAGCTAATTATCATGCAAATTAGGTAATTAACGAGCATGGATTTTTACCAAAACCTAATCAAATCTGCGCATTGGCCCAGAGCATCTATGCACCAAGTTTCATCAAAAACCGATGTATGGTTCTTGAGATAGCAGTGGAACAGTCGGACACACATACACACACACATACACACATACACACATACACACATACACACATACAGACACACTAACTGCAAAGACTCCCATTTTGTGCTTCGCACATGGGAGTCAAAAAGTAATCCATCTTGACATTGAAGAATGTTGACTTTCAATTTCATGTCATTTATATAATTGATCTTCAAATTTAGTGATAGGATGCCAAAGTCACATTTTACAAAAAATTATCATTTTTGACACATTTTTTCAATCATGTCGATCAGGTCTTGTAGGCAATGGGGAAAATTGTATTTAATTGTTACAAAATTAACAGAGAAAAAGAATACATTGAGAAAGGATGTTTTGGTACTTGCTTATTATCAAGATTAACAATATCATACTTTATCCAACAAGGACAATCTAAATCATGCAAATCATAGAGTACAGTGGCATTGTCAAGACAGTTAAAACTGTATTGATCACACTACAGTGCTATTCCTAAGTAATGAGACAATTTACGAGGATCAAGTAGCTCCTTTGGTAAGATGACGCAAAATCCATGTACATTTTTCATATTAAGACACAGACACGTAAATCAAATGCAAGCCATTAACATAAATCCGAGAAAAAAAATCTATTTGGCTATCTCAGGTGGCCTGGAGGAAGTAGATATAAAACTTTTGGTTGGTTGAAATCAGCATTGTAATGAACCAATCCGCTAAGTCAGAAAATGGACATGTGACTGTCAATCAACCAATAAAATCAGTGCCTAACAAGTCATGAGGAATCTCCATTTTGTAAGGCATGTGGATCAACATTGATTGCAAACACTGCAATCAAGATGAAAGCCAGGAACTTGTTAAAGAAACAGCTGCATGTTGCTAACTATCAGTTCTCAATTCAAATCCACATGTGTATAAAAGACAACTAAAGCTGTCTTTTTTTTTTACTCCCAATAAAGGAGCATTGCTGGGGGCTGTGCATCCACCTGTTTTGTTTAATCACTTTGCTCCCCCTCCCATTCTACTTTTCTTTAAATTAACTTGGCCTTGACTTTGAATCAATGTTGGCATGAACAGTTGCAGCAATCAGAATGCAGCAATCTCTGCCGATATTCTCCATGTACTAGTATACATTTTCTTCTTACAGATACCAATCAAAGTATACCTTGTCTGTCCTTCAAAGTAGATGGGGAAAAATGCTACGGGCAATGTCATGACAACAAACCAACCTCAATTCACAAGAAAAATGCCATTAAGATGATCTTAGCATTTGTTTTTTTTATAATTTTTAACTGTGTACGAGTGGTTGAATGAATAAGCACTAAAGTGTTTAACACTGAATTAGATCAAAGCAGTCTTCACACCAAATCGGATAAGGTAGCCCTTTCAACTCAATTCAAAAAGCAATCAGACATTCAATGAAGAGTTCTTTTTTATTTACACACTCCTGCCCTGATCAAAATCTATGTATTTGAGAATTAAAAAAAAAATCCCCAATCACTGTGGTAGTATGCCTACTTCTTGATTTTAAGTATACCTTGGGAACTGATTGCAAGCTGATTTCTCTGAAATCAGACTTGAATAAAATTCCATTGAATTCAGAAATAATGCATTGATAGAATCCACCCGACAAAATTGGTTTTCAGATGAATGTTATTGATTTTAAATTTTTCCAGTATTTCATCATGCACACGATTCAATTGTCACTAACAAAGCAACAGCAACAAAAGTTGCTCTGAATTATGGATTTGTAACTAAAAAAAGAAAGCAAATTATTGTCTGTACAGAAATGAAAACACAAACATAAATGTCACAAAGTTAGTACTGAAATGGTAGTCAAGGAAACATCATGGCCTAGCATTAAAAACTTATCACTGCTACACTTTTAACTAACCAGGGGCAAAAAATATTGGTATATTAGTACGAAAAAATGATTTTAGAACCAAGGTGTTCATTCTGTTCAGTCTTGCAGTATATACAATGGTTTTTTTCCAAGTAATTTGCTTGTCGAGAGAATCTAACGGCTTCAAATATGAACTACATGTTGCCTACACTAGACATATCACAGCTTTATGGCAACAAAACATGCAGGCACCCTTTTTATGCTTATTTCACTTTTTTTTAATCGTGAAGGTCAAGGGCAGTTGGCATTACCAATATATATCGCCTGCACCACAATTCCCTTCATTCTCTCAAATTGAATCATGAATACATGATAAATATTGCTTTATATTGGAACATTTAGCTCTCTAGACGCATCAAATTCGATAAGACATTTGATAAGCCTTTGGGCTTGTTTTTAGATATTGCCATTCTCCTCCTCAGAGTTCATGGAGCATTCTCACCTCCCTGTCGCCTCATCTAAGGGAATCCATGTTGCATGCTAGCCTGAAGGCAATCTGACTATTTGTCACGCCAGGTACGCATCTTGCAGTGCTATATAGATTCATTTCACTTTAGTTTTAAAATGAATAGATGATCCTACACATAAGTGAAAACACTACATTTTCTCACAGTGAAGTCGTGCCTTGATGAAAATCATTTGTTCAAAAAAACCCACGCTGAGTCTATGCAATATAAATGTTAAAGGTCTAAGAAAAACAGGCAGTGGATGTTGTCGCCAATTATACAAATATATTCCTCTCTACAGCTTATTTCTTAGCGATTTTCCGGTGATTGAAGCTTCCAACACATTGTGGGTCCCTTCATCCTTTATGCTAACTCCCAAGCTTCAACAATAGCAATTTCAACATTGAAATATAATGAAAGCAATCACATTTCCATTCTATAATTATGGTAAATTACTCTGAACATAACTAGCTGTACAATTTGAAAAAAAACACAACCTTAGGAGCCCCATGAAAACAACAGTAATGCATTATTTGCCTCCCTAGCTTACAGATTTTTAACAATTTTTGATATCAATAAATTATTGATTTGCAAATTTTCATCCTTTATTTAGAATTTGTGGCCAGCAACTGAGGGAGCTATCAAAGGTATTAACCCATCTGAAAAGAATTGTCTGTATATGTAGACACATTCATAACTGTAATATTGGGATTGACGTTCCAGGAAATCATGTTGAATTCCAACGCATTAACAATCATTTCCGGGATACGATGCTGATCTCAATTAAGCAATTTTTTCTCTCTTCTCGTCCTGTCCATTCCTCCTATTGATTCCATAAATCATAACATTCACACACAGTAATCCTATGCCTGTACAACCTCAGAATGGAACTAATTAGACATTTGTGTAACTTGTTATACTTATTACTTCTAGGAATTTATGTCCATTCATGCAGCTTGTCTGTGATTCGAGTATGTGTCAGACTCACTGAGGGCAGTCCACAACTGACTTATACACTACGAAAATATATCAGACATTTTAAAACCAAAAATTTTGATTTTTTTTCCTTTTCATTACATTTGTTTCGTCAAGTATCAGTCAGTTGGGATCACTAATGATTAAGAATTATAGTATTACCTCTATGCCTGTTAGTCTGTTTATCAAACATGAGCTGTGCTTCTTCTACCTGCAAATTAAAAAAAAAAAAAAAGTTTAGAAACTAATATGTAAAACCAATGATTTAGTGAAGGTAATATATGGATGCTTTTCAAATAGACTAAATATAATACCGTACTGCAAATTATCAACACTGGGGGAAACAAATTTTCATTTTTTGTTAACATGTAAATAGTCATGCATGTACAGCAAGCAGGTATTGTTTGATATAACAAGTTTTTGTAACAAGCAAATGACATAGAAAGATAGAAATTATACAGAAACATATCTAGCTACAGCAAGCTAAAGTCAGTAATCACATGTTGACAAAATAAACAACCATCTATTTTTAAGTGAGTGAGAAAATAAAAATGCATTTATAGTTTGTTAAGGTATTACTATAAAAAAAGGGTAAGCACATTTACAATGCTGGCCTTTCTCATCAGGGAAATGTTCAGGATATTTTTAGTTTTTTCACCATGCCAGTTTTGTGTGGAATATGTACCACCAGTATGCCCATGGAAAAACATGTGTGCAACAACATAAACATAGCGTAGACACACGCAGTATGCAAGTACCACATCCCTAAGGTTTTTAATCACCATTCCTACATCTGTGAAAGCCACTTGAGTTTGCCATACTGAAAAGGCTAATACGGATAAGAGAAACATTCCAACAAGCCTCTTCCAACTTTGCACATTGCAAACATCTTACATGCACATGCTTTGGTTGCGGTTACTATGTGTAACCATGCAATGACATGACCCAAGATCCAGACAGATATTTATTTATGCTAAATGGTAAAGTACAGTAACACCTGGACGGATTTTTATCATTTTTGCTGCCAGTTGGCAAAACTATTAATGAGATTCCCATAACAAGGATTCAGTCCAGAGTTGAAAGAATGGTGATTAATAAAAATAATTCTTCATCCTTGATAATCTCTTAGGCGTAAGCCTTTCTACTGTCTAGCAATATTAAAATTTACATTTCAGAAAAAAGAAAGGACAATATACACAGACAAAGTAAATCATGGAAAAGTAAAAACTTAAGGTTATACTTGATAGACTGTATAGACTGTATAGACTTGGCACATTTAATTTCATTGGGTAAAGTAGTCCAAATTGAAAACCTCTATATTGTCAAAAAGTTTTATGCTAAGGCTAATACAATTTTTCTTTGGAAGCATTTCTTGTTACTCCATGGTGAGTATTAATTACAAGATATAATTTACAACTAATATTTTGTTCAGAGTAATAGCATACAGATACTTGGGGGCAAGAGTTGTGATGAACTTTCCATATATGGAATGTAGAAATCACCATTACATAAAATGATTTTATTTTATCAGCATTTTTTATGGCTTTCCTTAATTTAATAGCATGGACAGGAAAGGACATCAGGAGTAGGATATGCATATTGTGTCAGTTAATCCTCTAGGAATGCACATAGCAGTTTAGATTTGTTCCCTACTAGAGTCATGAACTATTTGTAAACACATGTGTCCCAAATCATCTACCAAATGTTGTCAACACCTTCAGCCAGACAGAATAAAAACACAGACACATATCCACAAACGTGATACCCAGTATATGCGTATAATTGTATTTGAACCATAATGAAACATGTCATCATTTCTATTAGGGATGCACAGATGTATTTATGAATTGTCAACTGCAAACTTTTGTTTGTTTGTTTATCTTTCCTCAAGCAAGATTAGCTATAACATCAGATATTCTAAAACGCCTAAATCGGGTTCACACAGAACTCTGACAGTTTAGATTCTTAAAGAGTTAGGAGGCACTATTGCAGTAACGTCTATTCTAGCTAAAAATTTGGGAAGAAATAGGGTATGTTGCAGTTAACTTGATATGTTGGATATAATGCAAAAACAAGCAAAAAATAAGAATTCAGCTACACATAAACATTAACTGACTTTGCGAACTATTCTGCAGAAATAAACCAGAAATAAACACTAGTAGTTGTTTTTTCTTCAACAAAAAAATATCCAACTTAGATTTGAATTAGGGTAAACACAGATGAAAATCCTAGCAATCTGAAGAACTGCCAAATTAGATTCACCACACTACAGATTTATTCAGACATTTCCATTTTGAGTTAACCTCATGATCGACCTTTTAAAAGTGGACACTGATTCCTCTAATAAAACAGCCATCCAATTTCTACAGGAGGTCAGGGACTTGTCTAAATCCTTCACAAATCATAGACTTTATTAGTCTGTATATCTGAGAAAATCCATCTCAACATTCTTTGACTTGGTTATTGGGTTACTACCGTCCAATACACATGTGAATAAATGCTTTAGTCAAGCTTATTCAAATGAATTTGAAGGCGGAATAATTTTTAACCAAATTCCAGGAAGGCAGGCATTGACGCATTTTTTAAATTCAGGCAGGTTTGGAATCCAAGCAGTGAAACTTTCTTACATGGAGACAATGTTATGTTTCAGGTAATTCAAGCACATACTGATGACAATGATTAATTATTTGCACTATCCTAAAGGGTATACATTACCCAGCTGCACCAAACTAAGGAGTATACATTTTGCATGATATAATAAGACATGAACAAACCTATTAATAAGTTTAATTTTTTAACTTTTGAAGACAATCTGTAAACTAAATATTAAATGTGTATAACACAGCCCAATTTTGGGGGCATGTTATAATTGGTTCAAAAATAAGAACTTTTTACAACAGAGTAATTGATTGAATTTTGTTAACAGTTACTTAAGTCTATTTTGAATTAAGTGGGTTCTGAAGCCGATAGTTTTGAAAGTCATCTTTTATGAGTGCAACAATTTTTAAAGTTTCTATTAAAAAAGAGAGCAGAATATGCTTTTTTAGAACAATAAAAGAAACTAGAAAATAAACTGGAAGTACTAGAATTTACTATTGTATAGTTATTGGGTGTGCAGTTCTCACAAATCCTTTCAATGTAGGTCACAGTACAATAGAGGTCTTGACATAGTTGGCTGTTCTTGTCAATTATCCATAAAATCTTTTCACAAACCTTAATGTTCTGCAGTTATTAAATTTTATGCCCACTGTTCATTGGTTGTCAAAAACAGAAAATGCTCATGAATTCAATTGATGGACTCGAGAAATGCTCTGTTTAATTTGCAGGATTTGGCAAACATGAAGCTTTTATTGCCATAAAAGAGAAATTATGCAAATTACAAAAATGTCATTCTCTTGTAAGTAGTTGATATTTCGCCAGCAGCAGCTCTCGTTCACGAGTTCAAGAAAAAGAAAGAATATTTTACAACAAATCAAAGCATTTTGCATTAATTTGCTTAAGATAGAACAGTCATTTAATCTATGGTTATTTTGATAAATAGTATTGGAAAGTGACAACAATTCCCCATTCATTCAAGAGGAAGAGAAAGGAAATCTTTGAAGATGATTACAACCATTATTTGATTAGTTTCTAGTATTCTACCTGTGTCAAATTCATTTAATTTTTAAGAAATGGTGATGGATGATGTTGCACTAGTATAAAGTTACGATGCTCCATGCCCTCTTAAACTATCACTCATGCTTCCTTTCTCATCTTGCATGTTGTTTCAAAATTCCCTTCACACACACCGTACACAAATGATAATTAGTCTATAACAAGCTTGTATTGTTTAATTTAACAGAGGGTCACTGATGCAGGAAGTATGTCAACATCCTATCATTCACAAGGTAAATTTTCTAAGTAATATACAGTATGAAAAATTGTTTGATGACATTACATCTATGGATAATCAAAATGAAGATGTGATAAAACCAGAAATGCAACGATCATCTCAGTGACTGTAATTTTAAGTTCAATGGCAAATTGTGAATTCTACTTATTAGAAATAATGTGTATGAATTAGTTATCTCCCACCATTATTACATCATGAGGACAATGACTATTTATTTATTCTCAGATTTCCCCCTTTTTTGTAATCTATGCATTGTCTGAAAAAACATTAACCATTATTTTTTTACAGCAAGATTTTATTCTCTGCATTTTACCTCCTTAGGAGATAGACAATATGTTGACTATATTTTAAATGCAAGGCAGAGGAAATATTCCGGCTATTAAGACTTCACCCCTAAAGTTGAATTCCCGGCAGCTATGATGCATCTTATACAAGTAATGAAACCATGTAGGTAAAGCTGTAAAGCTGTCCATCTAAATTACAACTATGCCATATACTCTGTCGATGGATTGGATGAAGTGATAGCAGATATCACAGCTACTGGCTTCCTCCAACTATGCAAACCAATTGTCCAATTTCACACTATTTGTTTCGCAGAGATTATTTATTCAAAGCTGTGAATTGATACCTAATAATTTCAAATGCCTTATCTGAAGCAAAAGTGCATCTTCTACTCCCACACTATCTATAGCTTGTAGATTACCTAGCTGGAGATGGTCTCACTAAGTCTCAAATGACAATTTAGATTCTTTACTTAGCTCCAGGTTAAAAATACACAATTACTTAAGGAATCTATGACCTCTCAAAGCTACTGCAGGATTTCATTCTGCAATTTTTATATTATATCATTAATAATATATTCTGCCAGTGTGAATTTTCCTCAGTAGAAATTAATGTACGCCAGCAAATGTCAAGAAGTATCGGTCCTTATTAAATTCAACCCACAAATGACATTTAAATAAATAATCTATACACATTTAAATACACAGTGTATACATATTTTATGGAAGGTAGTATTTTAAGAAATTTGAGGAGATACGACGGGATACAACTAATAGCATGTGCAAATAGGTCTGCAGGGAGTTTAATGCCACATTCGAAAAAAAAAAGTGTTATTACATTTTACACATGAAAATAGATTTGGTTTTGTCATTACAAAATCAGAAATACTCTACACATTGTCTTTTTGACAACACACATATGCTCTGTCACATCTATTATTATAACAGACAGAATAAATATGAAATACACTAAATATTTCTACATTGTTAAGGTATTTACTTCCCTTCCAGTAAACAATATTTATTAAAAATAATTGA